AAAAAAAAAACAAAAAAAAAAACAAAAAAAAAAAAAAAAAAAAACGGATACTGGTTTGTGTTTATCACCCTCGTTTGCCAGGTAACAGCAGTTTTTTACTAATTCCCACCCAAGATGGCATAAACCAAGATGACATAAACCGTGTAAATCATAAAGGTGGATAAATGAACATTTTTTTTCATTTTCAGCCACTGTTAAATATCATACCATATCCTAATTGATTTACGTATAAGTAAGTGTTTTTGCTGGTCTATAAAAATGAGAAAAAATTAACTTTACCTAAACATTTTATTTAAAAAAGCATTTGAGAGGAAAATTTTAAACTTAACTTTAAAACATTCTAAAATAAATTAAAATATGCAACTTTTGGCCTTAATTTATTAGTATTTATTTTGCATATTTTCACAATATATGTAAAGAAAAAAAATATAAGGGTGTCAATTTCCAATGTCCCTGTGTTATTTTTCTGATTCTTGCAGAGACTGGTACTTGCGTAACATTGCTTTAGTTGATATTGCTTTGCAATTATACCGGTAGATGTCTCTATAAGCCCGGTGTGCTAGTTTGGTTCTCTTTCCCTAACGTTGCATGATCTATCCTGAAGATTAATAAGATAATAATAATTCAGTAAAATAATTATGGGCTCATCTTCCAAAAACAACAAAATACAGCTAGCTATCTGAAAGATAGATAATAATCATGGATAAAATCAACATATTATAATGAAAAATAATGTAATAGGTTTGGTAGTACTACAGTCACTGTCGACTGTATTTTCGAGAGTTTTATAAAAGACACGGTGTCTGGTTACTAACTAGTTGTTATGTCACCGGGCCAGTTATTCAGTCAGTCAACTATTGGGTAGTTCGACAACTATTAAGTGTGCCAGACAATTAGTTACTTATTCAGTCCGTTCAATGATGTGCTAGTTGTCCTTTACTCGACTCACCATGTGACACGCAAGGGTTTATGGTCGACAGACACTGATGCGACTAATAAACACTGAGGAGAATCTAAGCCAGGATATGATTGCTGTAGTTGCCTAACAGAGATGTGACACCATGCACTCTGAATATCACCTGATCTTGCAAACAAAGCGATTAACGTTCATCAGACGCAGTTAGTAGCACAGGAGGTTGGCTGATCCGCGTTTTTGTTATGCTCTGTGAAGATGGAAATACCCTTGCTGAAATCTTGAAATACCAATAACATTTTTAAATGTAACTGTAGACAAGGTGAGCGAAATATCAATAGGCATGGATATTGTTTAACACAGAGCAGTATTTGAAATGACATTTGTCAAATATTTTACATGTAATGCATGTTTTGCTTATGTTTTCTGTAACTTTTCTTTTCAGCAATTTTATACCTTTTTTCATAATGTTCTTGGATCTATAGAAAAAACTACAAAGTAGCGTATGGGAGACAAAAAGGCGAGACAAAGTGTCTGCCTTCTCCATTGCCTGGGGTCAGGAGTGAATATTATATACGCTGATGGTATACCATTTACTCATATGCCAAGATCCAAGCTCTGGTAATAATAATAATAATAATAATAATAATAATAATAATAATAATAACATTTCCGCCAAGGGGTAAGTTATTTGATTCACTTTGTTTGTACGTACGTTAGCAATGTTTTGCGATAGGTAATGGGAGTCTGCCAAGGAACAAATGCTCAGATTTTGCTGGTGCTCTGTATCACCATCCACCCTATTTATATATGTAAAACCCAGCACTGCCAAGGCTTCATTTGCTACATGCAATCTCCTCTTTCCGTTTCCGTCCTGCAACGCATGCGCCATAACCTCCGCACTCCGGTTCTCTCAGGACATATTTTTTTAGATGCAACATGCGTAGCACAGTCAATAACAGGGTGGTCTGTTTACATAGAGATGTTATGTGACAGTGGCGGTATTTGCTTCATTTGGCTTAGGGATATTTCCGGTGCAATGCAATTCTTTGTTCTCAGCATTTCGAGGTATGCACTGCCACCCTCGCGATATGCACACTAAACACATCGCGCTGACGCCCGGGATGTTCTGGCATATATCGAATGGGTGACAATGCGTTATCTCCCATACACCTATTTTCATTGACAATAAATTGATAATGATGAG